AGGTAGATGTGGCATCTTCTCTGGAAGTACTCTTCCTCCATCCAGGGGTGGTATCTTTAACTGGTGGAGATGCACAAGGTAATGTATCAATTTCACTTGAAGCTTACTTGTAGTTTCAGGCTTGGTCAAGCGCGATACAAACCATGTAGTAGGAGTCCCCCAAGTCGCCGAGCTAGGGGGTCTGCTGAAAGAGGGTGACAGACAAGGTAAGCAATCAGAGCTCCGACTGATTGTTCACCTTCTCCCCATCTTGCAGCAGCATGAAGGATAAAGAGAAGAAAAATGAGAAGAGATGATATGAGATACTTTTGCTTTTGAAGAAGTAACTTTCCACAGGCTTATTCTTGAACTGAGCTGGAGGGTTTTCTGGTTTCCTCCAGAGTATAAGGCCGACTGAAGAATTTGAGGGTCAAAACAAGTCCATCAAATCTAGAGTACGTTCCACCCTGCTGATATGGGATACTTTTGCTTTTGACAGAGTAATGGATGTATCGGCACGTGTGTTACGCTGTTCCACATGCTTCCTTGTATCTCGCACTTGCTATCTGTTCTGTGCTGTTACGCTTGTCTCCACATGCTTCCTTGTATCCTTCGCACTTGCCCTATCTGTTCCTCAAGCAGATGCGGAATCTTCCCTGGAAACATAAGATGTTGAAGATGAGTACTCGAGAGCAATGCCAGGTAAGTAATCAGGTAAGGGGTTCCAGGCAGTCAGTTCCTGGCTGGAAGCTTGATTCCAAGTGCTGACTGATTGCTCTCTTTCTCCTTGTCTTGCAGGTAAAAACAAGGCCAAAGGAAAAGACAGGGAAAAAGCATGATATGGGATACTCTTGCTTTTAACCCTGATGATATGAGATATTCTTGCTCTAGTATAGCTTGTTTGCAGAGGTATTATCGGGGGGAAAGAAAGCTGAATATTTCGAAAGGCTTCGTTGGGAGTGCCCTCTCAGATATGATGAAGGGTTGAGCATTTTTGCAGGTCTGCCTGTCCGTTGGGGATGGAGGTCGACATATATAGGAGTCTCCCTAACAACAAGTAGTAATGCTATTCCTTTACCCTGCTTGGTCATAGCACGGTAGTGGGAGCTGCCAGTTTCACATGTTTTAACTCTGTCAGAGCACTTTGAAAAAGTGGTCTGTGGTATCTGGCTCTCGAGATTCGGAGAACGATGCCTCTTCGATTTTTGAGAAAGCAATCATGCTGGGGGTCTGGCTCTCGAGATTCGGAGAGCAGTGTCTCTTCGATTTTTGAGAAAGTAATCATGTTGGGAGTCTGGCTCTCGAGATTCGGAGGGCGGTGCCTCTTCGATTTTGGAGCAAGCAATCTTGTTGGGAGTGTTTTCTCGAATGTGAGTAAAGGTTGGGCATGTTTGCTAGTCTACCTTGCCACGAAGCACAGAGGTTGACACACAGGGACTTTCCAATTATCCAGCAGTGGTACTGTTCCTTTACCCTTGTGGGTAATAATATGGTAGCTAGACCTTCAAAATTTATGTGTCTAAACTTTGTTAGTGCTGTTTCTTTGCTATTCTTTTACCTTTCTTGGTCAGAGCGATGTAGTGGGAGCTGCAAGCTTCACGTGCTCAACTTTGGCAGAGAACTTTGGCAAAGTTATCTGTGGTACCCATGAGCTATTGTTGCGTGTGGGAAGTGGGTGATTGAACAGTAAGATTCATGTGCTTTCTACTTCACCAGAAGTCTTCGACAGAATGCCCATAATTTCTGCAAAGCTGAGTGTGCGTGTGACAGGTGCTGACAAGGCTAGAAAAGTAGGTGCCTCTTCGATTTCTGAGATCGGCCCTCGTGGTCTCTGAGCAGCCCAGCTTTTGAGAAAGCGAGCGCCTCTTCGATTGATTCGGAGAACGATGCCTCATTTTTTGAGAAAGCAATCATGCTGGGGGTCTGGCTCTCGAGATTCGGGGAGCAGTGTCTCTTCGATTTTTGAGAAAGTAATCATGTTGGGAGTCTGGCTCTCGAGATTCGGAGGGCGGTGCCTCTTCGATTTTGGAGCAAGCAATCTTGTTGGGAGTGTTTTCTCGAATGTGAGTAAAGGTTGGGCATGTTTGCTAGTCTACCTTGCCACGAAGCACAGAGGTTGACACACAGGGACTTTCCAATTATCCAGCAATGGTACTGTTCCTTTACCCTCTCTTCGATTTTTAAGAAAGTAGTCATGTTGGGAGTCTGGCTCTCGAGATTCGGAGGACGGTGCCTCTTCGATTTTGGAGCAAGCAATCTTATTGGGAGTGTTTTCTCGAATGTGAGTAAAGGTTGGGCATGTTTGCTAGTCTACCTTGCCACGAAGCACAGAGGTTGACACACAGGGACTTTCCAATTATCCAGCAGTGGTACTGTTCCTTTACCCTTGTGGGTAATAATATGGTAGCTAGACCTTCAAAATTTATGGGTCTAAACTTTGTTAGTGCTGTTTCTTTGCTATTCTTTTACCCTTCTTGGTCAGAGCGATGTAGTGGGAGCTGCAAGCTTCACGTGCTCAACTTTGGCAGAGAACTTTGGCAAAGTTATCTGTGGTACCCATGAGCTATTGTTGCGTGTGGGAAGTGGGTGATTGAACAGTAAGATTCATGTGTTTTCTACTTCCCCAGAAGTCTTCGACAGAATGCCCATAATTTCCGCAAAGCTGAGTGTGCGTGTGACAGGTGCTGACAAGGCTGGAAAAGTAGGTGCCTCTTCGATTTCTGAGATCGGCCCTCGTGGTCTCTGGGGAGCCCAGCTTTTGAGAAAGCGAGCGCCTCTTCGATTTCTGAGATCGGCCTTCGTGGTCTTTGAGCAGCCCAACTTTTGAGAAAGCAAACGCCTCTTCGATTTCTGAGATCAACCCTCGTGATCTCTAAGCAGCCCAGCTTTTGAGAAAGCAAACGCCTCTTCGATTTCTGAGCAGGCGCCTCTTCGATTTCTGAAGCTCCGTCGAGTGCAGATTTTTTATAGGGGCTGGCATTAAGTTCCAAAGCACACTTGAATCTCCACCAGTAGAAGCTTCCATTCTTGCACTTCTAAGATCTTGATTTGTCCGACCTCTTCTCTCTTCAACACCTTTGAAAATGTCTGGCCCCTCCGACCGTCGTTTTGACTTGAACCTTGTTGAAGAGGCAGCCCCGCCTTCTCCAGACAACATATGGCGCCCATCCTTCGTCTCCCCTACTGGTCCTCTTACCGTTGGGGATTCCGTGATGAAGAATGATATGACCGCTGCGGTGGTGGCCAGGAACCTTCTCACTCCCAAAGATAACAGACTACTTTCCAAACGGTCTGATGAGTTAGCTGTTAAGGATTCGCTGGCTCTCAGTGTTCAGTGTGCAGGTTCTGTGTCTAATATGGCCCAACGCCTATTTGCTCGAACCCGCCAAGTTGAATCATTGGCGGCTGAAGTGATGAGTCTCAAACAGGAGATTAGAGGGCTCAAGCATGAGAATAAACAGTTGCACCGGCTCGCACATGACTATGCTACAAACATGAAGAGGAAGCTTGACCAGATGAAGGAAACTGATGGTCAGGTTTTACTTGATCATCAGAGATTTGTGGGTTTGTTCCAAAGGCATTTATTGCCTTCGTCTTCTGGGGCTGTACCGCGTAATGAAGCTCCAAATGATCAACCTCTGATGCCTCCTCCTTCTAGGGTTCTGTCCAGTACTGAGGCTCCAAATGATCCCCCTCCGGTGCCTTCTCTTTCTGGGGCTCTACCGACTGCTGAGACTTCTCCTAAGCAACCTTTGTGAAGGCTCCCTCTTGTGTGTTTATTTTGACTCATGTATATGTACATATTTGTAGCTTATCGAGGATATCAATAAATAAGTTTTCCTTCATTTCAACGTATTGTGTTAAATACACCAAAGCCTTCTTCGCTAAGTTCTTTGAATTTTCTTTTGTTGAAGCTTGTATGTTGAAGCTTTCTGAGTGGAGCATGTAGGTTGGGGTAGTGTTCCCTTAATTTTTCGAGTGAGGAAAACTTCTCGGTTGGAGACTTGGAAAATCCAAGTCACTGAGTGGGATCGGCTATATGAATCTTAGAACGCCATTGTGCTCGGTCCTGTGTCATGTCCTTCGTTAGATCCAAGTTACTGGACATGCACTAACGGAAAAATATTTAAAATTTCCAGTGTTTTGGACCTGCAACGACGAATTTCAATTACAATGTTCCGATAAAATTCAATAAAATTATTACTAAAGAAGGCTTAAAAGTTCAAAAACATAGAATTATGCTTCAAAGATACACACACACACAGAGGAAAGAGAAAGTACGGAGGTCGGGCTCGACGAGACGCCGAGCATGTTGCTCGAAATTCTGAACAGGACTCATGGGCTCTGAATCACCGGCACAAACCACAGAAAAACCCTAGCGTTCCCGGGAAGAAACCCAAAACGCAGAGCTCCGAGACTCCAATCGCGCAAATTCCCAACTAAACTGCTTCTGCCGCGCGACTACCTCCTGCTTCTTCCACTCCAAGCAAAACCCGGAGCTCCGCTACTTCCTGCAGTGGCTGAAATAAAAGGGAACGTAGAAAAATTGGGGATTTAATTTGAGTGTTTGGGAAATTAGGGTTTAGGAAATTGGTGGGAGTTGTCGTGATTGTTCTAATTTCTGTAATGGTTTAAGTTATTTACGGTGACAGTGTCTGTGTATTCTCTCGCTCGCAAAGACTCGGGTCCTTCGGCGAGGACTCCAGATTTGGGGGGAACTGCGCTAAGTGGTCTTTTGGGGACGAAAGGCCGTTTTGTGTTGTCGCTTGACGAAATTGTGGACCGTTAGAGGCCCAAACGCTTGGATGTGGCCCATATGGATCTTCTTTGTTTGACCACTTTTAAAAAATTAATAATAATAAATTAATATCAAATTCGTCAATATTTTCATACGATCATGCTTCCTAACACTTGGTTTGTGCAATTAGGCATATATCCAAATTCAATATATACTAAAACTCAAATATAACTGAAGCACTGTTCATAAACACAGTGTGTCTTTTTTTTTTTACCCTGTTAGGTTTTTGTTATTACAGGTATGCCATTGTTTTACAAATTATATATATGGATCTTTTTTATTTGTTTCTTTTCTTTCTTCTCCGTTCTCTCTCTTCTCTCTTGCTCATCTCCGTGACTCTGCTAGCGACGACAGCGAGCTGTTGCCGTTCGAACGCCGGCAAATCGGACCTTATCGTTACTGCTAGTCGTCTCCCATTCCTTTCAATATATACTAAAACTCAAATATAACTGAAGCACTGTTCATAAGCACAGTGTGTTTCTTTTTTTTACCCTGTTAGGTTTTTGTTATTATAGTTATGTCATTGTTTTACAAATTATATATATGGATCTTTTTTATTTGTTTCTTTTCTTTCTTCTCCGTTCTCTCTCTTCTCTCTCGCTCCTCTCTGTGACTCTGCTAGCGACGACAGCGAGCTGTTGCCGTCTGAACGCCGGCAAATCGGACCTCATCGTTACCACCAGTCGTCTCCCTTTCATCTCAAGAACAAGAAAGTTGTTGCATGCCTCGAATCGTTATTGTTTCAACGAGGGTTTTTGAACTTAACCCCAATTGTATTTCAATCTCTCTTTTTGCATTTTCGATAGGTTACAGTTTTTCACGTTCTATTGATTATGAATTCTAATGTTTTGCGTTCAATTTGGGTTTTTGGAATTTTGAATTTGTACCCTATTTCTTATTTTCCAAAATTATTCCCTAATTTCACATTTTTCATTTTGTACAGGCGTGGGTGAGACGCGTAATTCTACAACCTCTTCAAGGTGTACACGCAGCTAGGAAAATTTCAGCAAGAAAAATCCCCAGAAACTCCTCCTCCTGTTTTGTCATTGATATCTCAGCTCTGTCTCTCTCAATCTTGAGGTACCTGACATTGGCTTCCATTTTCGGTCTGAAATATATAATTATTTATTTGAGTTTGCTGGGATTTATTCAATTCAACCAGGGTAGGTTTTTCAGTTGTTTGGATTATTTTTTATTATTATTAATTTAGATTTCTGGATTTTTTTTGTTGGTATGGTTCATACACAATGAAAAATTTATGCATTCTTTTGATTATTGGGCATGCATCAAGCTTCTGTCTTTTTTTATTTTTTATTTTTTATGAAATCATGTTCAGTGAACTTATTTTCTAGGGGATTGAATTACCCAGATTGCCCAAATATATATATACACACACACGAACATATTGTTTGAGAAGGCAATTAAAAATTTACTCATTTCTAGAATATATTATATCTGTTTTGTTTTATAAGAAAGTGTAGTACCATCATTATGTCATTGGCTATTCTTAGGAGAATTTGATTGCAAGTTCCTGAGGTTAGCAATTGTAATTAAGATAACAAAAAGATTTGGACTGTCAAATACCTAACATTTCAAAGAAATATACACTAAACCCAACAACATTCCTATGTTCTGTTTAACAGGTTATTGAATGACACCATATTTCAAAAATATTTTAAAATGAGTTGAGGTAATGGATGCTTTGAAAACATTAAGACCCCTAAGATTTTCTTATTAATGTTTAGTCCGGTTCATCTCTTCTTTTTCTGTATGAAGCAATACAACATTTGTGGCTGCTTGAGAGCTTAAAATAAGCCAATGAGAGCTTTTATGATAGATCTCTGGTTATGATTGTAATGAAAAAGTTTGTCATATGATTGTGTCTCAATTGACTTAGTCCTATTGAAAAGGGATCAACTTTTTATCATTGTTTTAAGTATGCTATACACTGGCAAACAAAACTTTGTTCTACATCGCTCATATATATACATGTAATCACTTGATTCACCTATATTATGAGGTATTTGATATGGAGCAGACACAATCATATGACATTGTTGTACTATGCTTAAGAATGTCTAAAACTGAAGAATTTATATGCTTTGTATATATATATATATATATATATATATATATATATATATATATATATATATATATGAAAAGTTGGTTTTGATAGGCATCAAAAGTTTGGCCATAATAATTTGTCGTTACATTAAGATTAATGATTCAATGGGGTTGTGTTTAACTTTTTTGGAGTTTAAATTATGGGAGTTTTAATGAAAAGCCCACGGTACTGTTCATTTTAACAAAAAACCACATTTTTACACTAAAAAGTCAAACCTGGTACTATTCACTTTATCCTTTATTTTGTCCTTATCATTAAAACTCAAAGTTTTCAAGCTCTTTTCATTAGTTTTCCTTTAAATTAAAGGGTTGAGCTTGATGGCTTATACTCTTTTCTTTTTTGCCTTTCCTTTGCTGCATTATGTGTAAAGTTCAAATGGATTCTTTAATTTTTTTAATTTTTTTTTTTTAGTTTTTTGGAGTTTTCTTCGGTAAAGTTTGGTTTTTTATGGTGAGTTCTTAACTTGGTTTTGCTTATTTTCTGTCTTCAAATATAAGTTATTCGATGCTTTTCTTTGTTTTTCTCTAATTTTTAAATTTATTTTTTTGCTATTTAGTGTGAGAAAATGGCTTGAAAATTGGAATTTCCAATATTTGGGCAAAGGAAAACAAGAAGAGAACACCAATAGTGGTGACGATGGAGAATCCCTTCTTTGCAGTGGAAATCGACGATCTATGTGCAACATTCAGTGCAGTTTATAAGAGCAGAGGTCAAAATGAAGAATCAATGACATGGGGATTTGTTTAATTTTATCAAGTTTTGTATTGAGGTAAAACTCCCCCCATTTAACATAGTTTTAAATGCTGATTAGTATGTGTGTAAATAAGATTGTGAGCATGGTTGTGTGTGTATATATATATATATATATATATAGAAACATTGTTGTAATTATGTGTAACTAAAGTTGTAAACACGCGGCATCGCGCGGGCTTTTTTGCTTGTTATAAGACTATATTTTGGAGTAGGATAATTTTTTTTATTTACTTTAAAGGTGGACAAAACTTATCCATATAGCAGGTGGTATCATAGTTGTTTTTTTAATTGCATTTATAGTTTTACTTCTATATAATTAAAGAGTACATTGTAGTAATGGACTCTTAATTTTAACTCAATTGGAGAAATAGTCTCTCAACTAAAAATCCATTACTATTGGTTCCTCAACTTTAATCCAATTAGGGGAAATGGTCCCTCAACTTTAACTCAATTGTAGCAATAATCCTTTCAATATAACTCATTTTCACAAAATTTTGACGAATTAATGAAAATGACCACAACTACAACTTTAACTCAACTATAGCAATAGTCCTTATTTGTACTGTTTGTTTCTCTCTTTTTTTTTCTTTTTTTTTTCTTTCTCTCTCTCTTCGTTCTCATTGTTGCTCGTGTCTCTCTCTTTCTTTCTCTAACTCCTTCTTCGTGGTTTTCTCTCTCTTTCTCTGATTACCACCCATCGATGGGTCGGCTCAATCCGAGGCTCATATCGATATTGGCATCACTCCACTCCTCTTTTTCGATAGTTTTAGCCTTAACTTAAGGTGTGGTCCATAGGAATTCGTAGCACAGTTTGTAGCTGTGAATTGCCTCAAGATTAGTAGAAGTTTTTTAGAGTTCTTATCACTAGTGGAGAAGATCACAAGGTTAATCTCTAAACCATTGGGAAGGTATAGTTAAGCTTTGGTGGTTGATAGTAAAGAGAAGGCAAAATTGGAGGTGGGCTTTGAAAATCTTGTAGGTTCGAATGAGGCTAACTTGAGAGAAATAGGCAAAAGGTTCAAACAATAAGGAGCTTTTGTCGACGGCGATGAAGGGGGTTGCCGTTAACTAGAGTGTCGAAGAGGGCAATTTTGGGCGGTGCGAAAAAGAGAAATAAAAGGGAAAGAATGAGTTTTTGTCCCTCACATAGCAAACAATCTTGGTGAATCAGCTCTTGCAGCACACCAAGATGCAACGTGCCCCAGACAAGGTGTCTAGAAGTAGGATAAAGGCAGACAACGAACCTCTCCAGCAACGTCCTATCAAGCAACCACTCGACCAATCAAGAATCAAGTGTTCTGGCAATGTACACTCCCGATTGAGCCCTTGAGATAGCGTATACTCTCGTCTTAGCACGCAGAGGAGCGTGCACTCTCGACTAGGCCCACGAATGAGCATACACTCACGGTTAGGGCCACACTCCAATAATCAATATGAGCAACCATCTAGGCCAAATGTTCATTCGCAACTAAGACCGTAAGGAACATCATCAATCTCATATCGGAGTAGGCAACACAACGAACGGAGAGAAGTAGTCACTTCATCCGGCTTAAGTTCAACCGGCAGTCTGCGAGTAATTCGCTCGCCTGCTAGGAACGTACTACATGCACCTCAATCGCGACATAGATGAGCCGAGCACATGAAGGAGAAGCCTAGAACAATAAGTCACGATCAAAGGCAGCCGAAAGCTCTGCTGCCCCACTAAAGGAAAATTCAGGAAGAAGTTAGAGACCTCTGACCAAACAATTGTACGATTTCAAGCACAACGAAACTACTGACGAGGCGCTCCGACGAGACATAACCAACATAAGCCGGTCACCTTTCATTGACAAGATCAAGCAGATAGGACTATTTCACATAGATTGTTGAATACAAAGATTACTTCTGTTCCGACAAACGCACCAGCTTAGCCTAATAGCGTGCCAGGGGCAGACAAGGACCAGAAGGACACACCAGCCGAACTACCATGAACCGGGGGCATGCCTTGTTCTCAACACTCTAGACAATTCAATACTGAAGCAACACATCACCAGTAGCCGAGTGTCACGAACCTAATGGTCCAATTCCTCTTGCTGTGCACAATCTAACCCAAGTCAACCCCAGCTTTGTGCTTACAGCCGTGCCAACCTGCTCCACTGCTCCCAGCAGCCCTTAATCTGTCACTATGGCTCAGAATTATGCCTTCTTGCTCCACGACTCCCAGCAGCCCTTGATCTGTCACCATGGCTCTTAACTGTGCCGATCTTGCACCACGGTTCCCAACCATGCTGATCTTGCCCTGTGGCTCCTAATCGTGCCAACCAAGCCTATGGCAATCCAAACTTTAAAGCATTCAATGATGAAGCAGAAGGCAAGGTTTTATTAGCAGCCCTTGCTAGAGAAAAACTTAGCGGTGAAGAAGTTTGTAATCCATTCAAATTCTCAGCTGATCACCAACCAAGCTTCAAAAGAACACATAACGAAACATCTAATGATGGCACAATACTTGAAGAAAGTCTGGGAGTAGCTCATCGCGCTTCCCACTTACACCCTTACGCGGGTTCCACAAGCAATTTGAAGTCTCAAGTAGATCGCCGAACAAGACCTCACAGGCTGAGGATTATTTCAGTTGTCCAGCTTTCCTCAGCTGCGCTCACGACAATGACTTCCATGCTCTCCAATGCAAGAGGATAAACTAATCCCCCGACGCCCATCAGGGTAAGCTCTCCAATGCAAGAATGTAAACTAATTGATCTCCAGTGTAAGAGGTTAAACTAATTGCTCTCCAGTGCGATAGGGTAAACTAATTCCTCAACACCTATCTGTGTAAGCTCTCAAATGCGAGAGGGTAAACTAACTACTCTCTATTGTGAGAGGGTAAACTAATTCCCCGACACCCATCTGGGTAAGCTCTCCAGTGTGAGAGGGTAAACTAATTGTTCTTTAGTGCGAGAAGGTAAATTAATAGCTTTCCAGTGCAAAAAGGTAAACCAATTCCCTGACACTCATATGGGTATCCTCTCCAGTGCGAGAAGACAAACTAATTACTCTCTAGTGCGAGAGGGTAAACCAATTTCCCGACACCCATATAGGTCTGCTTTCTAGTGCGAGAAGGTAAACCAATTCCTCGACACCCATATGGGTAAGCTCTCCAATGTGAGAGGGTAAACTAATTGCTCTCCAGTGCGAGAGGGTAAACTAATTCCTCGACGCCTATATGGGTAAGCTCTCTAGTACGAGAAGGCCACATGGCTCAAAAGATTAAATGCTTGAAGACTAACTAGGCAGCGAATGGTCAAGGGGTAACAGCCACTTTGCACTCAACAGTTCGCTCATTTGACACTTCATCTTCAGCAGCTCCGAGCTTGGCAATTCCATCATTGACTGCTCCATCTACGGCAGCTGAGAAATCACACTCAGGCAGTTTTCTCATTTTTAGCAAGCAGCCCAGATGAGGAAGCTTAAACCGTGGCCCATGTCACGCCACTTCCTCAACCCATGCCAAGCCAGTCCTTGGCGTCAATCAAGTCAAGCAGCACAAGCAATGGCCCTTGCCACACCACCTCCTTGGCCCATGCCAAGCCGACTCTTGGCCTCTGCCAACCGAAGTACCGTACTACCTCGATGGCTGCCCCGCGGCTGCATTACCCAAGAAGAAGATAAGGAGAATTAAGTTTTTCTTACATCGGTGCAACGTAGAGAAGACAAAGAAATCAATGGAAGACAGTTCTTTGCACGGGCAAGCAAAAAAGAGCGTTAGGGGAGGGGGAACAAATATCCTCTAGTTTTTTCTCTTTCTTGTAGGGACAAATGATTGCCCTCCGAAGTTGATTTAATCCCCTACTTAAGGTAGGTTTAAATAGGCTTTGGAGGCGATTTATTTCCCTTTCCTAGAAGAATCTAATTCCAAATCCAAGTGAGAATCTGCATCAAAGCTGGAGATCTCTACACCTGCTGTCTTTTCCTGCGAGCAACCCAACAAGTGTGGGGGCATTTGTGGAGTAAAAAATAATCAAGAAAATTATGGAGGCGACACGTGTACTTTTGGGTGAAAAAGGACAGTATTACCCTCAAGGCACACCAGAACTTCTACGCGCAAGCAGTGGACAATCATGGCATAATCAAGGTCAAAAGTGATCAAAATAGGTATTTATTCAAAACCTATTTCATTCATCCTTATCAAATCCTCCCCACAAGGTAACTTTCAATTATTCATTCAAAATAGGATTAATTACCTAATTAATTAATTGATTAATTTCCTAATTAATTAATTGATTAATTTCCTAATTAATTAATTAATTAATTAATTTTCTAATTAATTTCCTAATTCATTGCAAGATATTATTTTGACATAATATCTTGCAATTACACCCAAAAACCACCATATGTGGCTGTTTCCCATCTCTCCAAAGGGGGCTGGCCACACCCCTATATATGGTCCCTCATTTCTCCAAAAACCTAAGTCCATTCTTCTCCTAAAATTCTCTAAACACTTTCTCTCTCAAATTCTAGCTTTGACATCGGAGGTTCTTTGGCCAAAGCCCCCCCCCACCAATTCATCGTGGGCACGTGAGGCTCTTGGCCTTAACCTTAGGTGTTAATTGTTTTGCAGGTAAATTTTCGTCCAAGAAGAAGAAGGCGGAAATTTGCATCAACATTTATACCGAAATTATTGTACATGTATAAGTTTTGTCTCTATATAGAGAACATATGATCAATGCTTAATCCGGAGAATAAGGAATTAAGGATATAAAAAATATTAGCGTTTATTAAGTGTTACACAATTTAAGAAGTGTGCAATATCCATCCCAGAGTACACATTGAATTTTGTTTAGCAAAAAGGATGGAAGCCCAAGTTCTTGCTAGAAGTTAATAACTAACAAAATGATCAAGATGGTCCAACCACCCTTGTCAACTTCAATTAACAAAATTCAGTGAAGTGGACGCCAAGGAAACAAAACCCCCCATATGATCATTTTTCTTAACTTCCTTTAAGTAAAGCCAATCTCACACCACACCATCCGTTTCCAACGACCTCCTCTTGCAGCTATAGCTCCCCGTTTTGAAATTTGTATTAAGAGGACCTTCACTCAGTAACTCCAACATTAGCATCTCTCCTTAATTAGTTTGCCAACCATGAACGCCGACGAGAGTAAATTGGTTGTCATGGGCCGGGCAGAGATCGACACCCGAGCGCCTTTCAAGTCCGTCAAAGAAGCGGTCATGTTGTTCGGGGAAAGAGTTTTGGTCGGAGAAATATATGCCAAGCAGCTCAAAGAGGTAAGCTAGCTTTTCCCCTTAAATATTTTTGTATTTCTTATAATTAATATGGTATCAGAGCCTAAACAAATGTGCTTTGCTAAACGCAGTGAGAACCCTTGGTTTTTGGATCTCTCCACACTCTAAGTTCTCCGTGCACCCATAGGGCATGTACTAAAACCATTCCTCCGTCAAGACCATCACTCCGAAACCCACCCACCAGTCCGATCATGTCACGCATTTTTTCATGTCAACCACTGACCAAAAACCCATCACCATTAAACCACTTTGCTTGAATTTTCGTTTCTCAACGTACAACTTATTGTCACATAATGTAAATTTATAATGTATTATTATTTTCTATGTCAGATTGGAGCTGCAGTGTCCAATGATACTACTAATGGAGATGCTGCTCAGTCAAGAATCGAGGTCTTAACATCGGAGCTCGAAGAAACAAAGAAAAGTCTTCAGAAAGTTAGAGAAGAAAACAAGTCAATGGCATATTGCATCAAGTCACTCAGAGAAGATCTTGACCGTTCAAAACAAGAGCTCCACAAGTACTTGAAGGCAAGAGAGTTTGATGATCAGAAGCACCGAGTAGATCCTGAGATTGAAGAAGATTTTAAGTTCATTGCGGACAGAGACACGAAGTTCGAAAACAAGAAAATGTTGAGCCAAGAGGCTGAGGAGTTTGTGCAGAAGAAAAGATATGTGAAGTTTGCAAGTCCTGCTTCGTTGGCTCAGGTTATTGTTAACAAAGAAGGGTCGCTTGAGGGATATGGAAACCCTAGTTCGGTCAGGAAAACAAATAAGAAGAAGCCTTTGATGCCTATGATTGGGTGGCTTTTTTCAAAAAATAAGGCAATTCAAGAAGGTGAGTCTTCAAGAGCCTAAGGCTCTCATGAGCGAGAAAGTCTTGTGTGCAACTATCGCATGATATCTCTCTTTTAAGCGGATAAGATTACAGGCGGAGATGGAAGAAACAAAAATATAAGGGCTTTGTTTGTGTGATTGTGGTTGGAACAGGTGGCTTGTGTGGCTTACCGACGCTAGAATTCCCCCTAGTTACTAGATTATGCAAGATATTAAGTAGATATTTTGCCTTAATAATTTTTTTCTTCTCATTATCTAGAAAATAAAGGAATATTGCTTCAATTTTGTAAGTTTGTAAGACAGGCTTGGCCCTAAAGCTGAAAGAAGAACGTTGTAAGTGTGCTAGACCTTCTACAATTGAAAATGAGAGCATATGTAATAATACGGGCTAAAGAAGCATTTGCCATTGTGATGTGCTCATGAAAACCCACAAAGAAAACCAATACAACGAAGAAGGATAGAACTATTAACCTAAATGATGTGACGGGATGATGATTGAATTTCTTTATTAATTATTTAAATAATGAAGTTAACCATCAACCGACACATCATGTATCTAAAAAATCTTAACTACATTAATAAAGTAAATTTACACAAACTAAGTTTTACCCTTTTTTTTTTCAAATCCTCACCCAAAGGTGATCCTAACATCCTCTAATTTTGAAAAATAAAATATAAAAATGAAAACTTCTCTCTCTAATCCACATTCCTTTTTTTTTTCTCCCTTTCTCCTTCTCATTTTAAAATAAAATAAAATTTATTTTCACACAAAGTGTGGGGCATATGCTAGTATAGTTTTAAGAAGGTCTAATTGGATTATTAGTCCTCGTGGTGATACGGTAGTTGGAAGATAGCCCATGTGGTAAAAAAAAAAAGATTTAAGCCTCTGTGGTGAAGTCTGTTATGATTTATGCCCAAAATTGAAAATTTCATCAAAACCTTCGATTGATTATTAGCATGTGAGTCATACATATTAGGCTAAAACGGAACTCTTCATACACATATTAAGCTGAAACATAACTTTCCGTTAATTGTTAGTACATGGGGCTGGCTGACATGCTAATAATTAAGGAAGTTGACAGAATTTTCAATTTTTGGCATAAATCCTAACATGTTTCACTATAGGGGCTTAAATCCTTTTTTTTTTTTTTTACTACATGAACTATCTTCTAATTACTCTATCACCACAGAGATTATTAATCCAGTTAAGCCTAAAAAAAATAGTCACTCTAGCATCACTTTTATTTATTTATTGAGGTATTTGTTGAACCCCCTCCCATGCCCCTCCCTCCAAACTTGTAAGTATCTGTCAATTTCTCTATGAACTTTAATTTTCACAAATTAGCCCATGAACCTTTTTTTTTTGTCAAGAGCCCATGAACTTTTATAATTTTCCCAATTTTACCTAACTTTAGTTTCAGCCAATTACGTCCCTGAACTTTTATAATTGGCCAATTTCTCCCCTGATGTTAGATTTTTGTATTAAATTTTCCATCCATCATGATCACATGCATGACACATGGCAATTGTCTGAGGGCAAAAAGCCAATTTTATCCCTAATGTGGACAACGTATTATTTTTTTCTTTTTCTCTTCCACTTATCACTCCATACACTTTTTGTTTGAATTTTATCCATAATGTGGACAACTATAAATTTTTTCCACGGTCTTGCTTTTTCAACAACATGTTGGGGGTTGTGATGTCATTTCATTAGCCTTCCTTGTGACTTAATTAACTTAACCATTTCGTTCACCAATTTGAATTGAAGACTCAAATTCAAATAAGAAAAATAATTACTAACCTCAGCAAATTCATTATTAGAAACTGGCCAATTATAAACACTCATGGGGATAATTAGTTAAAATTAGAGTTCATGGAGAAAATTGGTCAATTATAAAAGTTAAGGAGTGTAATCGGCTAAAATTAAAGTTCATAAGAAAAATTGACAGCTCTTTACAAGCTCGGAAGAAAGTCAACTAATACCTCTTTATTTATTTATTTATTTATTTATTATAACGTTAATCCTATAATCACGTTCATGGCATGAATTCCATATGGCGTATAGTCAACGCAAGTACTCCCTCAATATTTTTCATATGCAAAACTAGCAACAAACAGACCGATAGCAAATCCAATTGGAAGCATGATGGAGACATTGAACCCCACGAACCCTAGTTACTCTGCCTCATCTCTCATATACCGCAATTATTTATTATTTGTAACTTAATGAGAATCCTCTTTGTGAGGATTCTGAAGATTCGCCAATCACATCCGTTCATCGTAAATCATTTGGTCAGTTTTCGTCAGGTACTTGTAGAGCAAAAAATAATCAAGAAAAATATAGAGGCGACACATGAATTTTTTGGTTAAAAAAACAAGATTACCCTAGAGGCACATCGGGGCTCCTACACGTGAGCAGCAAACAATCACCACTCAATCAAGGTCCAAAGTGATCAAAATAAGTATTTATTCAAAACTTATTTCATTCATCCTCATCAAATCCTCCCCACAAGGTAACCTCAAAATTTTCATTCAAAATAGGATTAATTACCTAAATTAATTAATTGATTTTCGAATTAATTAATTAATTTCCTAATTGATTGCAAGATATTATGGTGACATAATATCTTGCAATTACACCCTAAAATCACCAAATGTGGCCGGTTCCCACCTCTCCAAAGAGGGCCGGCCACACCCCTATAAATACCACTTCGCTTCTCCAAAAACCTAAGTTGAATCCTCTTGCAAAATTCTCCAAATTCTCTTAACAATTTTCCCTCAAAATTCTAACTTTAGCATCGGAGGTTCTTCGGCCAAAGCCCCCCTCCCAATTCATTGTGGTCGTGTGAGAATCTTGGCCTTGACCTAAGGTGTTAATTGTTTTTGCAGGTGCATTTTCGTCCAAGAACAAGAAGGAAGAAATTTGCATCCACAAATTGGTGTTTTCATTGAGAGTTAAGTCACACATTTGTAGAAGACTCTCGAATCCAAGGTTTTTCGTTTTCTTGTTCATTTGTAGATTTTTTGTACGTTCTTATTCTTGGAATTTTTCTTTCCAAAAATTCTTCGATAAAACGTAAAAGAAAAGTACAATGGCAAGAGATTCGGAAACCTCGACAAACAAAAATTCCAACGTTCAAGAATTAGAACCGCGGCGATCTACAAGGCTCAACACAACGATGAGTGGAGGGGCACCACCGTGGCAATCACCATGGTGGCCACCCTCGACAAAACCCACGACCCAAACTGTGTCACTTTAACCTTTAAGGGCCCAAGCCCAAGCTGATCCGCCTAAACCCAATGCGAGCCCAACGCGTTGCCAAGCCGAGCCCTAGCCTCGCACCCACGCCACCCGCCGAGCAACCCACTCTCGTGGCCCAGCCTGTTCCCGTGGCCTTTTAAGTAGCCCAAATCAGTCCAAGATTAGTTCAATCGTCCTGATTTCAAATTTATGGGCATATGATTGAACCAGGGGCATTTTCACCATATTTCTCTGCGGATTTAACATTTTCCAACTCAAATCTCGTGCACAGAGTCTACCACACTTCCACTACTCAAGAAGGCGCATTCCTTTCAAGCTCTTCCAACCCCAATGAAGAACAACACTTGTCTCGACAAGTCATATAGTTGACGAGCACCCTTGCACAACAGACGACCTTGGTAAATCAGCTCTTGTAGCGCACCAAGATGTAACATGCTCCAGAAAAGGTGTCCTGAAGTAGGACAAGGGCAGACGAAGAACCTCTATAGTGGCCTCCTATCAAATAGCCACTCGACCACCCACTAACCGAGTGTACGAGCAGTGTACACTCCCGATTGGGCCCCTGAGATAAAGTATACTCCCGTCTTAATGCGCAGAGGAACGGGCACTCTCAACTAGGCTTATGGATAAGCATACATTCACGGTTAAGGCTACACTCCGATAGTCAACATGAGCAACCTTCCAAGCGAAGTGTTCATTCGTGGCTAGGCCCGTAAAGAGCATCATCCACCTCACATCGGAGTTTTGATGATCTTTCCTTGGTTTTCACCAAAGAATACTCATCCTATCGCTCGATCAAGAAAAAGTTTGACCATTTGTTCAATATGAATAAGAATCCAAAGGAGTCACTCCGCGACTACGTGAAAAAAATCAAAGCAAAGAAGGCAAAGATTGTCGAATGCGATGACTCGATAGCAAGTGCAGCCTTCCAAAAAAGACTTCCAACAGACCACCTACTATTAGGAGAATTGATCATGAAAGAAAATCTAACTCTGGTAGACTTTTTCACTCTAGCAAAGAAGCATGCACTTTAGGACGAAGCTCGATGAGCAAATAAGGCGTCCTAGTAGCCTCGAAAAAAGGCTAAGCGTAGGGACCAACCCACGACCAAGGAAGGCCTGACGACCAAGAATTACTCTAAGTTCTCAATCCTGATCTACCAAATCCTCCGCGACATCAGGAAATATCAATGTTTCAAGCCGCCAAAACAATCAAAATGAGATACTTCCAAGTTGGATCACACCAAGTATTGCGTATTCCATCGAGTACCTGGTCACACAACCGACGATTGCTACACTTGGAAGAACTACCTGGAGAAGCTCGTGAAAGAAGGCAAGGTCGACAGATACTTGGACAAGCTAGCTACGCAGCCTAAAAGGAACGCAGACGATGACGAAAAGCCGCCAACCAAAACGATTCGGAACAATGGAATCTTCGTCAAATCCGAGCACTTAGGGGCCACCAACAACTCCAAAAAAAAAAAAAGATCCAACATGCTATACTAGTCTCACAGGTCCAAGCAGTCGACACCCAACCTGGACCCATCGTTGGCTTCACCGAGCAAGATGCAGAAAACATCGACTTCCCACACGACGATGCATTAGTAGTATCTATCCAACTAGCTATGTTATAATCGAAGAATGATGGTTGACAATGGAAGTACGGTCAACCTACTTCAGCTCTCAATAATTCAGAAGATAGGCCTGGAAAGCATAATCATACGCCGAGTGGAGGTACTCACCAGATTCAACGGACACACCTCGACTGCCATCGGCCACATCACCCTTGACGTGAAAACACCGCCAGTTGTCTCAAAGAAGACGTTCACGATCATAAGTGACTTATTTCCCTATAATGGGATTCTTGGGAGACATTGGTTGATTAAGCTGGATGTCGTCACTTCCGTCAAGTATAAAAAATCCAATTTCGCATCCCGGGAGGAGGAGTCAAAAAAATCAAGTCTGACCAGGCCGTATGTCGACGATGCACTGTGTAGGTACTGAAAGAATCAAAGAAGAAG